TCATCAGGAGGCCGCGGCGGACAGCGTGGTAGACTCGGAAGTGGAGATAACAGAGGCTGCTACAACTGCGGGGAAGAAGGCCACCGCAAGTTTGAATGTACCAAACCTGCCCGTGGTGGTGGACGTGGCCGTGGACAGAGCCGTGATGGAGGCAGCAACAACACCTGCTACAACTGCGGGGAAGAAGGCCACCGCAAGTTTGAATGTACCAAACCTGCCCGTGGTGGTGGACGTGGCCGTGGACAGAGCCGTGATGGAGGCAGCAACAACACCTGCTACAACTGCGGAGAAGTTGGCCACCGTAAATATGAGTGTACCAACAACACGGCTGAAGATGGAGGACAGGAGGAGAACCAGCGCAAGTCCAAGAAGGCTTGCTACACCTGTGGGGAGTTTGGCCATAAGAAGGACGACTGCCCCAAATCTGGAACTCAAGAGTCCGGAGATGAGGAGGAGTCCTCTGACAATGAGGAGGAAGAGACTCCCCAGAAGAGGAAGCAAGCTGAGGACAGTGAGGAGGAGGAAGTAGAAGCTGAAGAACCTCCCAAGAAGAAATCTAAGAAGCCCAAGTCCAAGAAGAAAGACTATCTGACTCTTCAAGCATATAGGACGATGCCCCTGGAAAGCGCCAGGAGCAGAGAAATGAGGAGACTCCCACTTCGACATCAACCCGGCTCTCAAGGAGATGCAAGGATGACCAGGAGCAAGAGACCGAGGAGGATTGCCTTACACCAACGGCCTCATCTACAAGAGATGAAAGGATGCAGAGGGACAACCAAGACCAGGATCCAGAGAAGAGCCTCCCTTCAATGCCAGCCGTGCATACAAGATATGGAAGGGCAGTCAAGATACCTCGAAGGTTCCTGTAAAGTTAAGGGAGGAGATGTGCAGAGTATTAGGCTCATAGATTGTTGAGCTCTGGAAACCAAAAGGAATAATACTCTGCTAGTGATCTCTTTTGACTTGTACATAATATAATAGGAAAAATAGGAAATAAACTAATGCTTAGTTAATCTTGCCTCGTCTTGGATAACAACACACAACCTGCTGGATTTGTTCAAGACAGAAACAAAGTTTGCAAACTCAACAAAAGTTTTTACGGTCTACCTAAATCCGGAAGATCGTGGTATGAGAAATTCAGTCAAGTACTTCATGACTGTGGACTAGAAAAACTTAAATCTGATCCTTGCCTATTTAAATGGAAGAATGAAGACAAATACTTCTATGTAGGGATATATGTTGATGACTTTATCACTGTCTCAGATTCTGAAGATACCTCAAGCAGATTCATCAATAAATTGAGACATCACCTGGAAATAAAGGATGTAACATGTAAAGGCATGTTTTTGGGAATCAAGATCATACAAGACAAGGAGGGAATTTCGCTACAGCAAAGCCACTATGTACAACAAATATTGCAGAAATATGGAATGGAAAATTGCAAGGAAGTTCCAACACCTGGTTCCAAAGAAACCAATTTGGACAATCATATTGAAGATGACAATTGTGATCAGCACACTTACTAAGAAGCCCTTGGAATGCTTATGTTTCTAGCTGTTAACACCAGACTCGACATCGCTTACATCACTAGCAAACTTTCACAGTACTCCAGACAACCAAAATAGATGCACTGGACAGCAATCAAAAGAGTGATGAGATACCTACAAGGAACAATTGACCAAGGAGAGAAATTTGAAAGAGGGAAGACTGGAATCCTGAAGTCCTACACCGATGCCAGCTTGTCGACCACCCATGATGGAAAATCCTACGGCGGATATGTATTGAAGCTCGGCGAAGCAACTACAGACTGGAAAAGTAGTAAACAACCACTCGTCGCCCTCTCCACAATGGAAGCGGAAATGATAGCTGCTTGTGAAAGCTGCTGTCAGATCAAGTGGATAATAAACCTGTTACGAGAGCTGGAAGAATGGAATTTCATGGAAAAACCAACTGCGATCTATACAGACAGTCAGTCATTGATCAACTGGATCTCCAGCCCTAAACAAAGCAGTCGCTGTAGACATATCAACAGAAAGTACCACTTCTTGAGAGACTGTTATGAATCCAGAGACATCTGCCTTCTGTACAAGCCATCTCAGGACCTGGAGGCGGATATCTTCACAAACGACCTATCCCGAGACCAGATGAAGAAACACCTGGAGAACCTCAGCATCGTGGGAATAAAGACAAAGTAAGGAGGGAATTGTTACGCAGACTTTGAC